TTTGATCAAAAAATGAAGCTTCAAGAAGCTTTTTATTTTAGTACGGTCATATCGGAAAAATTGAATCTTCCGAAAAACTCATCTTTTAAAGTTTCTTTAGTTCAGACAGTGAAATAAACAGTACCACGAGATTCAAGGTGATAGAAAACCTATCTCTCATTTACTTTCGAGATTATGAGACATCAAGACGCCTGATAGGGGTACCTTTGGAGAAATTCTTCCACGCCCGAACGATGATAGAAGAAGGTCTCACTCGCGTGGATGTGGAGTTTAGATGTCAATCCATGTTGTGCATAGTATGTAACTATAGGTGGGCATGGGAACCTAGGAAACGGCAACTTGCCTGCGGAAGATACACCATGTACACCACCTGCAGGCAGAATTTTGGACCTGATTATTTCACAAATAGACTTCTCCCAGTGTCTTCTATAAAGTGGCGAAAATCGCACCTTTTTATCATTTGTGTATCAAAAGTTATTTGAAAAAGAGTTTTCTGCACTATATAGTGAAATGGATAATAATAAGCGAAATTAATTAATTTTTTCTGATGAGAAAGCATCGCAATCTGCAATTATTTAGCTTTTGAGTGACGACCTTGCTACACATTTCTCATTTCTTTATGCGTTTGACTGATGAAATCAAGCACCACGAAAGAATGAGAAGCGTCGGAACCCAAACTTTTCTTAATTTGTATAGCAACTGTGCCCGAGTGGAAAAAACAAGTTTTGGTTCGACTAAGAACCTAGCAAAATAAAAATCAGTCCATTAAAGAAGTTAGAGCCATCTTGTTTGTTTTAGTTTATTTTACGGGAGTCTATAAACTTTTGAGTTTGTTAAAATAGCAAGGACAGATATTCTAATATGCAGTCTTTCTTTCTTCAATGTTAGAATAACAGAAATATATATTATATATATTTCTAGGATATTTTGCCAAAAGGACTACGGCAGACTCTATATTCAGGAATGTTGGTAAAATTACTATGCAGTGTACCATTTGTTTTACTATGGACCAAGGAGACTTTTTGTATTTCTTCGTCAATCAAAGTTTCAATAACTGTTTCCAGACTCCATGGAAAACGGGATGGAGATTATCGATCACAAACGATGTGCCAGAATCAAAATACCGTAAACGATTTAGAGCACAAGGACCTAGAAAAGCAATTGAACGGTGTTTACGAGGAAGAGAAATCATGAAAAAGAAAACTTACCATGGTGGCCCATATAAGGCGCGACTTCTTCTCCATTGAGAATCTTTGTCACATTTTCTTCAAATAATTTTTTCTCACGGATTTCTGCTTCATGGAATGGATACACACGGATAGTTGTATTATATTTGTTTCCAATATTAAATTTTTCTGTTTTTACATAACAGTTGCCACAGCCGTATTCACTATTAAACGTTCCGATGTTTTCCAGATGCGACTGAGCTGGCTTATCGTTACATGATGCCAAGACAAACCTTAAATGGAATGAAAACTATGTGTAGATGGACGGGGACACCCGACGAATCGAGGCAAAATGCAGTTTGCTAAAGATACCTTCATGCAGGTGGTCTAATAAGGTATGTATTCGCTGCAATACATTATTATTAGCATAGATTTATTAATCAGTAGAGAGTATGGTAAAAAAATTCTCAGAATTCCAACATATGAGCGTAATTATCCAACAACCAAAAACTAATACGATCGCTGCAGTCTTCACAGGAGAGGCAAGGTTGTACAGTTGTGAAGGCCTCCTTCGTACAATAACAGCTCATACTTATTAACTTTTCTAACCGAAAAAAAATTTCACATTTTCGGTGATTTTACAGAACGCGACAGAAACGTATTTAAAAAATTCATAATTTGATCAATACTTACGCTTAGATATGGGCGGGACCAAGGATTTACAGTGCCGGTCCCATCCAGATCCGCAAAATAATTTTGCTCGTAAAACACCAAAAAGAAAACACTCCATTAATGTTGGAAAGTTTAAGAGCCTACACCGGGTTTTTTGAATGAAAATCTTTCTGCTTTTAAAATCTCAAATTGAGATTTTGGTGTTTTAATAAAGTTTGCATGACGGTAAACGCAATAGATAAAAAGATCAATGTCTTGGAAAGAACTGTCAGACTTCTTGACGATTCTCTATAAAATTTGTATCTAAGTATAGAAAAAAAGCTAAAGTTTTAACTGCTTTTACAAAAAAATCCTTGGGTTCTAGTCACATTCCGGTCCGAAGATCAGGATCGGGACGGTCCCGTCCCTGTCTATTTAAGCTGCTATCTTACATAGTTCATTTCTCAATGAAAAGGTTACGCATAGCTAGGTTTATTTTTGTTGCGTTAGGTTATTCGTTTTTTGAAAAAGCGACATTAATTTGCAATATCTTGTTCAGATAAATAGTTTTAATATTTTTGAACTTCAAACTTTTGCTATAGGTCAAGTGCGTGTTCGCGTTACTGAGTTTAGTAATAATAACAGTCATTCATAGAGATTTGCTTAGTGTTCATCAGATATCTAAAAGTGTTCGCGTATTTCAGCTTACATATTCAACTTTTTGGTATTGTCTGTGTCTTTAATATAAAAGGAAACACCAGCTTCTAGTTCTAATAATTCATCAACAACAAGATTTAGGCATGCTTGAATAACGTTGTTGTTAGGACTTTTCTTTGCACGAACAATTCCAGCAAGAAGAATATTTTCGATATAACGTTTTTGCGGATATGGAAGTTCATTCAGAATTAACACAATAGGCCATAAACCAGTAGTCGAATTGGCCTTATTCTTCTGAATACCGTCAGCATTTAAGGTCAATGTAAAAGTAGTTTCTGGTTCAGAATTTAGAAATTTGCCGTAATATGTGTCTTTTAGTTCTTCTCTGTTTGTCTTCCTTGTGATTCGCATCATGTCGTACATTCCGGCATGTTTTAACATTTGTTGAAGTTGACTTTTCGTCGATGCTAAATAGAATTCATGAGAGAATAACTTCTTACACTTTTCACAGTCTTTATCTTTCGCTTTAGTGTCAACTTTCAACGATCTACTACAGTCTTGGCATATGTAATATCGAGTTTGTAATGACGCTGCCTTTTTCTTATCCACTTTGTTTTTAGCACTATCGGATGAATGGCATGAATTTTCGACATCATAACATTTTAATAAATTACAAATATCATCTAAAACATCATTAGGCAGACCATTTCGAATTTTATGTACCATCAGTGTAGACGCTGAATCCAGTTTTGTGGGCTTAATGCGTCTCTCTATCGTGATATCTTACATACAAACAAACAGACGAACAGTTAACACACCGTAGAAGGACTTTTAAAACAACTCACCTCCTGGAAAAGCAGGAGATGGTGGACTATAATCGTTTTCTCTTCCACTGTTCACGCTGGCGTTTAAATATTCTAAATAAAAGCGAGAAAATTAGTTAACTAATATACATTATAAATTAAAAGACCGGTGGATCTTTGGAAAGCCATTTCATAATTCAAATATTTAGCATAGCAATATATTAGCTATTTTATATGGGTAGATAGCCCAAACTGTCCTAAAATTAGAATATTCATAACTTAGTCAAAATCGATGCAAACTATGTCAGAATACCAAGATATACTCTATTTTATCTGCACTATAGCATCAACTCCAATCGAACTTCTAAAAACCAACTAAGAATACTATGATTTTTTTACAAAATTTTCTAGAAACCTTCAGAAGCAATACGAGATTTTTTACCAATCGTAAGCACAGAATCCAATTGAACAGACTACATCTTGATAGTCTGACGTAGTTTGTATCGATTTTGACCGAGTTATAAATATTCTAATTTTACATGAAAATAGCCAAAAATGGAATATTTCACCGAATATAGAATTTCACTAGGTTTTTGAATTTTTTCGAAAGCGAACGTTGCCACGAGACTCATCGTGGTCGATTATCTATGTATCCATTCATTTTCGGCGTTACCACATTATAGGGAAATCCTGGGTCTTGGAGAAAATCCTTATTTCATTTTCAAGTTATTTGAAAAACAGCCACCGGTCTTTTAATTTGAAATGGATAATACACTACGTTTTAAAGTTTAAGAGCGGAAACAAAGAAGGTATCAGGCATAACTCCTGTAAAAGTCCTTCCTAAAAAATTAAAAATCTTTCTGCAACCAAATTTGTGTCTAGGCTAAATTACCATCATCAAAATTTATGGACGTCTGTGTAGCAATCAATGTATCATTGTTCATAGGAGTTAATTGCAAGAGTAATTGTAGTGCGTCTGTGGCTATGTTAGAATTGCTCAGTTGATTTTGGCGCCATCGACGACGGCTTCTGTCAGAATGCATAATAATACAGAAATCTAAAACAGAAAGTATACTGAGGAAATACATCTGAAGTCAAATAAGAATAAACTCTTTCATTTCATCAACGAGAAAAAGTCATCGTCATACTGGTGAGGATTCCAAGCATCGTAAGAAATTCATGTATTCTATTTTATTTTATGTTCGAATGAGTCAAAACACAACAACAAAAAACAAGCTAAGCATGGAGCTGGTCAATTCATGCAAAAATATACTTTTTAGCTAATTCTTCCAAAACGAAAAGAGACACGACTTTGAGAAAAGTACACCATCTGACAAACTGCTCTGAAAATGTTCCTGAAATAGAACAGAGTTTGTCAACATTGTCACTAATTTAAAAATATGAATAAAAAGCACAAAGCCTTTCTTTTTTTCTAAGAAACAAAGTAAAAAGCGACAGACGGTTTTCAAGATAGAACAGTCAACATGAGAGAAATATTTATCAACAGTAACAAAAGTGGAAATACAATGAAATGCTGCATAGCAATTTGCAAAAAAATCTCCACTATCTCTCTGTGTCAGAAAAGAAGGGTATACCTAAAAATATCTTAATATCACAACAGCAAAATTGATTTTCGACAACAGTTCAGTGATATTCCGAAGAAAAAAGTAGGAAAGAATGGCTTAGGAGAAATCAACACTTAATAGGTATTATGTGTAGCTAAGCTTATTCCATTTTCCGTTGCTTCACCACCTCTTTCTATTCCACTATGCGGGTTGTGATGCTTTTTGACGAAGGTTTTTCTTCTACACATCGACGAAATTGTACCACTGAACATCGATTGTTGAATGTCTTCGAATGGAAATGCTATGTCGATGTAGTCTAAAGCAGAGACAATAGAGAACAGTTACAAATGGTGAAAAATCCTAAGCACCAGTTAGTCATTGACAGCTTCACAGCATTCTAGCTAGGTTCATGTAGGCTACAATCTCGGTAGAGATGGGAAAGTCCGACCATTTCCAAGTAGAAGTTCTTCATAGCAGTTTATGCAACTATACAGTACGTCATAATTATATATGACGGATAAATAAATTCTCTCCATAATATGCCAGCAACTCAAAAATTGAGCAGAATTTTCTTTTTCGATTTTTTCATCATAGTTAGATAGAGCGCACCAAGTTACATCGAAAAAGTCAGTTTCATAATTTTAGTCCACATTTTTTGATTCGAAAAATTTAAAATACTGTTTTTTTAAAATGAGTGAAAGTAAACAAAACTTTCAATAAAACTCAAACTCGACTTGTTTGTCTTCTTTTAAAATTTTAACAACGATTTTTTTCTTATTCTGCATCCAAATTCGACTCTAGAAATTTTCTTTTTAGAATTTTGGAACTTGAAATGGACTCAAAATCTATCGGACATGAGACGCATAGTAAAAGTTCTACCCACTACTTTTGCAAACCTATCTAGTCCCAGGATTTTGGAGATGAAAATGTCTCGTTTGTGTCAACCCAACCCATGTACTTGTGAGAAAAAAGTATGCATCAGTTTTAGAATATTTTACTTCGTTGACGAGAAATTCAACTTTGAAATAGCCATAGCAAAAAACATAAAATTGGGCCTGTATTTTGCCATTTTCTGGATCAAATCCCAACTTTTTGACAAAAACACGATCATATTCGGGATCAGCGTCAAAAGCTAAGGTGAATGACATACATTTGAAGAATTGTGAGTGACTTCAAAAATTATTCGATTTTTTCAAATTCAAAACCAAAATTTTCGTTTAAAATCGGAAATCAGACAGAATTCCTGAAATGTATGTCATTCGACTTGTCAAAAAAGTTGGGATTTGA